GGACCACAAGTGGATTTCCTGTTATTACATTAACCATCTCTCAGCCTTTAGCTTTTAAACACAACAAACTGAAGTTGACTGTCCTCACGTTCACTTCCAGCCATTGATGTACTGAGGTCACCACAGGCCCATCAACCCTACCCTGAATAATTTATCAGCCTTCCACCAAGTGTAATGTGCATACCCAGTCATTGTACAAGAACGATGCACCCTGTGTACTTCAGAAAACCTCTCTTCTTCCTTCCCAAGAAGGATTACACCTACTGTAATAAAAAATTTAATAAACTACCTGAAAGGAGATTGTAGTCAGGTGGGGGTTTGCCTCTTCCCCTCCCCTGGCAATAGGACAAGAGGACACAATCTTAAGCTGTGCTAGGGGAGGTTCAAGTTGGACATAAGGAAGAATTTCTTCACAGAAAGAAGGATTGGACATTGTAATGGGCTGCCCAGGGAGGTGGTGGGGTCACAGTCCTTGGAGGTGTTTAAGGAAAGACTAGACGTGGCACTTAGTGCCATGGTCTAGCTGACATGGTGGTGTTAGGTCACAGGATGGACTTGATGATCTCAGAGGTCTTTTCTAACCTAGTTGATTCTGTGAAATATGAAGGCACATCATCTAACAGAGGATAGTATGGGCTTTTCTTTTCCTGCTACCATTTTTCAATTTCGAACTAAACAATTTTAACTACTTTCCTATGTGAGTTTAACTTCACAGCTTTCCTTTTTTTCTTACTGTTTATACACTTATTGCAATTATCTCAAAACCAGCCTGCAAAGATTGTGAACACCTAGTTTTTATAATCAGCTGTTATGAGCACTGCTACAACACAGCAACTATACAATACCAAAGGCGAGTGCCAAATGCCACATCACCAGGGACATTTTTTGGACTGAGAGAGATCAGAATACCTAGCAGAGCATTACACCTTTGTAAACAATATAAAATTGAATTGTAAGCTAAATGCTTTTCAAGATAAATATAAATCTCAACATCATTTTTGTTTTTGAAACATCACCAATAACTATTCATCTGTCCCTTAAAAGCACCTGAGAGAAGTGGTAAAATGACAGTTTGGAGACAACCTGGGCCTCATGCAGCACTGGAAATTGCAATTTCACTTCAGGTGGCCTGGACTCCACCTTATGTTCAATAGAAACTCTCAAAACTTTTTAAGCTCTTAACAACCAAGAAAGAAGAAATTCATCCAACAGGCAACAACATTTTCCTTCTGAAAGTATTCATAAAAATATTTATATTCAAGGTCTTTTCCCTCTTACAATATTCAGGTAATATTTTGGCAGGACAGTCCTCACTCTCAGTCACAAGTGAATCAGGGCTTTATTGCTCCCATATACTGATTTCAAACTACACTGGGTCACCCCAAGAGTTCCTTCCCAGAGGATGTAGTTCTAGCACTAGTTCCAGAGGGTTGAACTTCTTTCTGTATGGGGAGAAAAGTACTTCTGTAATAGACTGACCTTCAGATATGTTGATATCTGAAGGATGTCAGTTCATTGTGAGAGTTTGGAAGCTCCGAAAAGCTCCACATATTTTCAAAGAGATGTGGCCTGTAATTTTAACCTATTAAACTGAAAGTGCACAGCTGGAAAAGCATAGTACATATTTAAAAATCTCACTGTGATTTAAACACAGATTCATTACGTGCACAAGTGATTTTGTAGCATCACTTCACATAGGCAAAAGACAACAGGTTTTACTTCCAAGACCTTCCTGCATTCTTGCAACTCACATCAAAGAGAACAATAGAAGCATGGTTGAATGTGAGAAAGCACCAAATTGCTATGGCTTTTTGGGTGGGGGGGGGGAGAGAAACACACATATTACAAAAATCTAATATTTCTCCACCCAAGCATTGCTAGTGAATGACCTCACTGGTTTCCTACATATACTCCAGCAGCTTTCCTGCCATCACTCTGTTAAGCCAAGCAATGATATCAACAGTCCACCTGTGAGAGTGATGTAGCCCTCTGGGTCATGGCCGCAGAGAACTTGGATAAAAGCTGTGCCAGTGTTAATTAAATACACCTCTTGTTTCACTGCTGATTTCCTCCGATAAGGCTCAGCTCATTTTTCCTGGAAAGACTTCCATGCTGTAAGAGAACCGGAGCCAACCATAACACAAACCAAATATTGCTTAGAGAATATGAAGACAACATGTTAAATATCTAGTTTTGAAAAAATAAAATCACTGCCTATGAGTGCTGGGGTAAATACAAATCTCATTACTCTACATGTGCTAGTGACAAGGTTAAACTACAAATGTTAGTTACTGTAGATAGCTTATTATCTTTCAGTACTACTTATCTCTCGCATTTGTAATGCTCTTCCCAAATAAATAGGAGCAGAATTCTAACAACCTGCTTTACTGATAAATTCTGCTAGGTTAGAGTGTGAGAAGCTCATCCAGTACAATTATGCTTTGAGAAAGGAGTTTGCCATTTAATTAGTATCAGAATTATCACTACAACTTTAATGAAAAATAGTATTTTTTCTGCCATCAGAAAGGTCTTAGCAGTAAGAAGGTTCTAAGCAGCTTAGGTAATTAAGGACCACTTCCATTAATACAATTAGCTAGCAAGTAATCAAAGGAAAAAAATGTATGCTTCTCCTTCTTTTTTTCCTATACAAAGAAATCTAATCCACCGTCATGACTGGATGCTTTCACCATATGCTGTCACCAGGATATCTGTAATCCCTCTACTCATAGCATCTGACTTAGAGCCACTTTAAGCCTTCAGGACATGCCCTTTTATATTTGCTTTGTTCTTGCTGACATTTTCAGATAGCTTTATTAGTAAGAGAATTGTCAAAGGAAGGCTCTCAGTTTTGAAATCTGACATCAGAAATATTCCTTCTTGCACAACTTAAAAAGCAACACTAACCCTAAGACTTAGTTGCTGACAACAATGCACACAAAAATCTGAAGTGGCAAATTAGAAAAGTGATCTCGAAAGTAGTACAATTATATTACCAGAGTTTGTTTCATGATGATCACAACTCTCAATTCTGAAAGTTAGCAAGTTGGACCTCTTGCCATAAATTTAATTCTAAAGAAGGAATTGAATGGTAAGAATGTTAGGAACACATTCATATTAATTCATTCATTCATCCTGATTTGTAGCAAGTGTGGTACTTCCAAGAAGTTCTTGGAACATTCCTGAACATTAGCAATATTTTCCAAACAGCCAGTGATCAATGTCTATCTATTCACATTTTTAGCTCTTGGGGATCTTATGTTCATACAGTACCTCTCCCTCCAAACTCTCTTGGAACACTTAACACAGAGTATACTGCCTACCCAGTGCAGGATATGGCAGAAGTTCCATGGCTAATACTGCCTCTTGCCCAAGTCAGGCTAACTAACTTGGATATATGTTTTACAATCTCCTCCAGTAAGAAATCCCATATATAAAAAGTCCTTCATAAGAACCCTATTTTTTTGTTCTAGAAGGAAATAGAAAATGAGAAGTAATCTTTGAACTTGTTTGGTGTATAGTACTCCTACAGACAGTTTCTATGGATTTATGACACTGAAATGCAGCTAGTTCACAGTGAAGCATGCAGGGTGTGACTCATTCAGAAAGCTCAACCCAAGCACATTTCACTCTGACATCCTACAGAATAGCTCTTTCATGGTTTTGAATTAGTTGCTGCCCATTTTTCACATGCACTCCTTCTCGCAACTTCATGACACACAACTTACAGTGCAAACTTGAATCCAGGACATGAAGGAGATACTAGAAGTTCTGACAAATTCTGTCCTGTCACCGGTAATTGGAATTTGGTCTTACACAATTCAAATACACAGCTGCACTTTGCTTCTGGTAGATGCACATAATGTGGTCATGCAGAAGGAAAGCATATCCCCAAGTCCAGTGAGTTAAAGTGACACAGTTTCCTGAACTCCAGGAACCCTCCTGGTCAGCAAGTACTTCCTTCCTTGTTTCAAACACTTGATTGTTTCAGAGGGAATTCAAAACAATAGATTAGAAACTTTCAACCTTTCCTAAGTGTACTGCTACACAAGGAAATCAGGCCATGCTCTGGGAAGATGAGATAACATTGGGAGAGTACTCTTTCCGGAAATGCAATGGCTTTTGCATCCCTCCTCTAACACCATCCCATGAATCAGCTACATGTTAGTAATAACTCTAGCTATGAGATGTCAGATGCAGTTTAACTGCTGTTTGGATTAAGATGTGCTGATTGGCAAAAGGCATGACCTAACCAACTTCTCAGCTATTTCGACAAGCCCTGTTAGGGAAAAAAGTATCAGGAGCTTCCTAATCTGAGTCTGTACTTTTAAGGACATGTAGGTAGAAAGGATGACAATTGTCTCCTTTTAGCCTGCTGCCATCAAGCCCCTCATCGTTTAAATTGCTAAAAAAGGAAAAGAGTGTGCTACTACTTCTGCATTTACAAAGCTACCCCTTCCCACCATAACTTAGTTTTACAGAACCAGTAGTGATATTCACAAGGACTGCAAACAGATCAGGCTCATTAGCTGAAAAGCAATCATTTTAATCGTACTCTGTTCCCCAACACAATTCCTTTCATCTAAATATATTACAATGGTTTGTAATGACAAATGAAATTATTTAATATTTAGAATAAAATAATTAAATTATTTATTTATGGGCTGTAATTTGAATAAGAAAAGGCAAAGGACATGTAAATTCCTTTTTATGCAGCATTAGGGTGTATAAGTATACCAGACTAACGGAAAAACAACAGAAATAGAAACAACAGCAAGAACCATTCTCTCAGACCATATAGTTGAAGCTCTTATATGATATTACATTTTCCTAATTCTCTTTTGCTATCAACTTAGAGTTACAATAAGTTTGAGGATAAGATTATTATACAAAAACAAGAACTCACCTGATTCTACATGTTATTTTTAGTGGCAAACAGGAAACGCACTTCCCTGTCAAGCTGGGTCAAAGGGGAGTGACCAAGCTGAATACTTTGCACTCACCGTTCCTACCAAAGGGTAGATGAATCCTGCTCCAACACTGGCTCGTACATCGCTAATCGGCAAAATGAAACCGGTGGGAACACCCTTCCTCTCAGGCTGATGGGAGAGGGATAGATGAGTTTTTGCCATACAAATGGGAAGATTTCCAAATCCCTAACAAAAGAGGGATAGAAAATAAAAACATTTTTAAGATTACAGTAAAGACACATTACGTTTTTGTTTTGTTATCAATATCTTCTTGAAACCCTAAAATCCACATAGCAACAGTTAACCTCAGTTTCATAACAGATAATATTTCAGAAATGGACTGAATAGTGTATTTCATACACTATTCTCTCTCAGCTCAGGTGCCTATCTCCAGAGACTTGGCTGTAGGGATACCCAACTTCTGGAGTGGGTTCTCAGTCTAGAGTTAGGAGCAAAAGTTGCCTATCCACCAGTTAAAGTGTGCTGTTTTCAGAAAGTGTTCACAACAGGTACCACACTGAACAGGAAGCCTACACCAACTTAACAGAACTCCAGTATGGTAGTTCCCTCTGGCCTCTAATGACCCAATTAGACACCTACTTGAGACCAGAGTCCAGGATTCAGAGTCTGAAGTAGTTACCGAAAATGTTGGAGAAAATCAGGGAAATGCCCTCAGCAGCTACCCTCATGGATTAATCTTGAGTCAGGCACCTTGACAAACAGGGTCAGTTCACAAAGCCAGGAGGAGAGGAGGCACTGTAGGGAGTTGACTCTGCAGCTCAGTGCTGACAATCCCTTAATGACATTGTGAAAATATTTCCTAATACTACTATCATGTAGACTAAAATATGCATTAGAGAATCACAGCAGGAAAACATAAAGGCATGGATTATTTTGCTTTAAGTACACTAATTCATCTTCTTTTTGATCTAGAAAAATCAAATTAATTCTAAGGAAGTTTGCATTATAGGGAAGATGGCTACACTTCTGCCTGTCTGACCAAGGTGCTGAAGTACACTCAGGTATTTTTCCATGACACATCATTCATAGTTCCTACTTTCTGACAGAAAGGCTCCAGCCAAGTTTATGTCCAGAAATCATTCCACTACAGAAAATGCATTCACCTCTCCACATGGTTTCTGAACTTTTCAAACTGATACAAAGCCCACTCCCACATGCTTTAGGATAAGAGACGTATTTCACCTTCTAGTATTCATAACTCCTTGAAAATAATATGAACAGAAAGAAAAACAAAAGATTTTACAAGTATTGGGAGCTTTGTTACTAATGTGCATAGCTGTTCACAGGTCTTTCTGTGTTTGCAAACTCTTTTTTGCACATACAAATTAACACTCATATGCTAGCTGCCAATTCTGCAGATGTGTAGTTGTCACATTTAAGACAGTAACCCAGAATTATCACACTGCATAGAAAGTATGGTTACATGAGCAATCTCAGAAATATTCTGAACACTGTTCATCTATCACTGGAGATAGCTTTCAAGGTTAAAACCATTCTGTTCTATCTAATCTAAACCAATACATACTGACCTCCACAGTATAGTATCATGGGTATCATGCCTTTTAGCAAAGCTTGACTTAACACTCCAATCTGAGAACACTTTACACTCTGAGGTTTCCTAAGACTCTCATCCAGCAGATACCTGACAGCATCATTCACTGGTGTTCTTACCTGCTGGGTGTAACGATCAACTTGTGACTGCGCAAGAGGAGACAACTCTATATTCTGAGCTCCGTACACCTTCTGAGCAATGATCCTTATTTTTTCAACAATGGGAAGCTGCAGAGACAAGGAAACAACGTAAGGATGAACATTAGCCAGGAGAAACTAGGATCTTGTTTGCTGTGTGAGATATCTGAATCTCTCATTTAGAATCATCCTTGTTAAACAGGCTTGCTAAAGCATGAAACAAAGTAAAGGGCACTGGTGACGGATATGATATTCAGTGACATGTATGTGAATTACAACCACCATTTCAGCTATTACATCATTTAGAAGCTGCACAATTTGTGCATTACAGAGTTGACAACATGAGCTTATACCCCTGCCTACAATGGGGTAAGAAAATTACTGCCATGGAGTTTTAAGAATCAAGAGCTAACCCTCACTGCAGATATGTGGAAGTAAGCTTTACTGGGTTAACAGGGATCCCTACACACACAAAAAAAAATCATTTCAGAATAAAGATAACCTATACAATGAGTGGATAAGGTGAGGTAGCAGGCAGCCAGGGAAGGTTCCTCTGAGAAGTGAGGAAGTGTAGCAGAAACTTCCTGATTCATCACTGCTTCTTTGATTGTGATTTTTTTTTAAAATTTGTTATTATTCTCACCTCCTATCCTTCCTGACATGCATATTTTGAATTGTAGATTTGATATTGTAAAGCACTTTGGACACTTAAAGGGGAAAAAAAAAGAAAGAATATGAAAGTATTCTAGGATTCACTTTGAAACCTCAAGTCACTAAGTTCAATCTCAGTCTCCAAGAGTATTCATATCATGTTATTCAGCTCAAACTGAACATATGTTCTGCCTCATGGCTTCTCTTTCAAGGCAGATGCAGACTCTCAGTCTGTTAAAAATCCTTTAACAGATTTTCAGCAAACAGTTTTTTGCGGTCAGACCAGGCGTTTACTTTTCATGCCATCATTTTGTGTATTTAGAGTAAACAACTCTCTCCTCTTTCTCTCTCCTTTTGTTTTGAGTGACTTCGGAGACAGCAACTGTAAGCCCTATAGCCTATTTTACACTAGCCATCCTCTTTGACTTCTTTCAATAGGAACAGGATGATGGAGGAAGGATCATACTGCCAGTTCAGCTACTTCAGTGCTGACTATAGATGGCCAGAGATGTGTGCAATACTCCAGGGAATATGCCACCAGTGATTTGTAGTCTAGCATATTTAATTAAGAACATGTGGAAGAAGTGCTGAACAAAATTTAAAGAGATACCTCTTGGGGAAGAAGACTTGGTAATCTCAAGCAGTATAAAAAGTACCAGAACACAAAACAGAAGTATTTCATTTTATTCTAACACAGGTAAGAAAGTAATTTGTCAATAATGAATTCTATCTGCTGCATTTATAGGAAGTTCCACAGTTAATCACATTTTTGCAATGCCTGTCTAGAAGTAATGGTTTTTCTGCAAAGACACATCAGTTGAAGGGTTTGTGTCAGATCAACCTTTTTTGTATTTATGATTGCATTTTAGAAAAATTAAAGTTTACATTAATAAAGAACTCCAGTAACAGAGACATCACAAGAGAAGAAAGAAGCTCACCAGATTTTCAAGTGGTTTAAATGTAAGGCAGTTAAAAGCTACTAAGGCTCAAATAATATCCCCCCTCAGATTTGAAATTTCAAAGAGAGATTTAAAGAAGTTCTACAGGATGCTTTCTGAACGTGCTCACTATGTGATATTGCACCTTAATTGGGTGGAATAATGTCACATTCCTGACTTCAGGCTTTTTACAGGAATCCAACCAGTGCAAAAAAAAAATCTAATCAAAATTGGAGATAATGCATTGCAAGTATCCTGGATATAATTCCTGGCAGCAGTAAGCTCAGTGAAATACTTAGTGGCATGGATAGCCATCATGAGATGAAAACTTCTCTCAGGGTGATTACTCAATACATTCATATCCATGGTAGTTTTGAACACAGTGGGAGAAATGCAAAACATGTCTGTTAATTTGCCTTTTGGGTGCTGTTTGCTCACAGTCAAGGACTAACAGCAATGGCAAATGAAAAGGCAAAAGGCATTCCATTCCCTGTTGTCAGTAGGCCAGCATCAAAACTAACAGCTTAAACCTCAGCAAATTCATTGAAATGGAGATGTACATTTAGATTCAACTTGCATTTGTGTCAAAATATTTCAAACTACTTTGACAGCAGTATAATTACTGCGCCTTCAGCCCCCTTCCAATGACTATAGCTGTATTTTCCAAACAAAATCCAGCAGGGCTCTGGCTAGCATCAGAAGAGACTGCTTTAATGACAGTGGTGGCATTCTGTTCCTCCCAGGATGTGTGCAGCGTCTTGCATGGCTGAGTATGAGTCTGAGCTGGACAGTCAAATGGTATCCTTACGGATTTATGGTTTGCTTATTGGCATTTGTGGGGGTTTTTTTGTTTGTTTGTTTTGGTTTTTTGTTTTTGTGGTTTTGTTTGGTTTTGTTTTTGTGTTTTTGTTTGGTTGGTTTTTTGTTTTGTTTTGTTTTTAAACCAGAATGTCAAATACTTTTCAGGTCAGTACCCACATCTCAAATTTTGCAAATGTAACCTCAGAAGACTCACCACTGGGGAAGGAGTTGTGGGAGAGTGAATGGCAAACTAAAGTGGTTTTCTGAGACTGTCACGTGTATTTGCAAGGCATGCACATACAAACAGGTGAGGCATGTGCATGGTGTCAGGGGAGAGTTTGAGCCCATTTAATCTCACAACACAAGCAAGATGAGTCCTGGCTGAGGCGAATTCAGACACAAACCGGTAGGGAGGCACAGATGCACTATGCACATTAACACAGCCCATGCACATGCATACTCTCAGACATGCTTCCTTCCTGAAGTTCCAGGAGTAGGGAAAGGAGTGCACTACACCATGCTAAGGATCCACCTGTTTCCTAGTATTTAGTGGAACTTTTAAGGCATTATCTACTTAGAATCAGAGTGTAACAGGGCATTTCAAGCTAAAAGGTTTCCTGTGTTTCAGTTATCAACTAATACTGCTGAGAAACTTCAATTTAAAGAAGCATTTTCAAAGAAAAAACACCTAGTGCTCAACATGAGAAATAAAAATTAATTTTGCTTGAAAGTGACATAATGGAATTTATGCAAAAAGAAGTTCGACTAATTCAAGAGACATTTTACATATATGCCATAGCAGAAGCCTGGATATTTACAAGACACTTATAGGAATAGTTCTTACTTCTTCTTATCTGGCCTTTAAAGGCAAGTTTAGCTTTAGGTTTTCATCGAAACTTGATTATTCAGCACTTCACTATCAAAATACTTCCCAAATCTTCGTCCGCGAAGCCTAGTCAGGATGAATGATCAAAATACTCTCACTGATGGGCAAAAGCATCCACCACATGCACTAACTGTGCTAATTCACATGGAAAAGTGTTTCATTGAAGTCAAGGGGGCTGAAAAATAAGAGGGACATTGCACAAGTAACTAAACCATTAAGGGATTTTAAGCTTGATTTTTGCTCCACTTGATGCCACTTGTCTAGAAAAAAAAGTAAATCACGTGAGCTACTTATTTGTATCTCACACACTTTGGTCAAATACCTGCCAGCAGAAATCACATATCTCAGATACTTAAAAGAAAGAATTATTTCACATCTATCATGGTTTAGGAAGGGTACTCCTCAATTCCGTGCCCCCACTAAGACTCTCCAAACCACACACTGCTCTCTCTTGTTCCTTCCACTTTCCCTGCCCCCCCCCCCGCTGCAGTGGGATGGAGAGGAGAACTGGAGGCACAAAAGTCAAAAATCATCGGTTGAGATAAGAACAATTTACTGGAAACAGCAATGAAATAAGAAAACAAACAGTTACAATATTTATGACAGAGGATACAAGGAAAGAAATGATTCACAGAGAAAAAAACAATAATAGACAAAACTGGACGGCTCCCTCTGCCACATTTACTCAACCAGACTGGAACCCCTTCTGCCCATAAGAGACTCCATTTCTCCCACACCTGTAACGATGTAAGGAGGTATAGAAAACGTATAGAAAACCTCAGGCTCCTAACCATGCCCCCTCCCAGTACTGCAAAAATTAATCCTGTCCTAGCTTGAACTAGGACAACATCTCTCACTCTTTTTTGTCTGAGAATCTGAGAATTTTCTACAATGGCCTATGTGGAAACTTGTTCATTCCCACTTGCAAACTCTAATGCTTACCTACCCTGACGCACCTATTTGCAGGCCATAAGTAAAACAACCTTAATGAAAGGAGGATGAAAAATCTCATCTGAATGATGAGTGTTGATGCACCCATATGAACAACAAGTTAATTCCACAGCACCTCTGCTACCTGGACAGCTAGGGTGAGAATGAAATTTATAAAATATCCAGAGTGTCAAAAACATGAGAGATTTAAAATCAGCAATAAAAGTTATTCCTCTTCTCATTTCCCTGATGTAATGTTGTGAATGTTACACAACTAAGTACATTTAGGTGAAGAACAGGTGACAGATAGACAATAGACAGTATGGATTCAGATAAAATCTGACTTTTATAGGTATGTAAATTTACACTGACCATGAGAAGGTGCTACAGGGCCACACAGGATATTTGCTGACAATTCAGTAGCTTTGAGATTCCTCTCAGTAACAACCAATCTCGTCAGGCCTGCCAGAGACAATGTTCATTTCTGAAATCTCACATACTTAGTTACCAAAGTCATATGCTTCTTTCGAGGCAAGCACAAGCACACACACCATAAACAGGATTTTCTCTGTGGCTAAAACATAACAAGTGCTAAAGCAGAAGTGCACAAACTGCTTGCACAAAATCAGTATCTGTGCAGCTGTATATTTCACTACTTGATAGAGAATCATTAATCCACGCAATCGGCATTGATAAAGAGGAGAGCCTGTCATTCTCAAGACTGAATTGATTATCTAAGGTGAAATCATACTAGTGTTGTCATCCAGCCATACTGCTACTTCCAGTCCACGTCACTTGCAAGACATGATATTAGTGCATGTTGGTGCCATTTATTACACAATTTTCTTTTTTCCAATACTATCAACAGCAAGGTTTTTACCAAA